CACATGGAATCACATCAGAAACTATTATTTGATGCCATAAAACAATGTGAATCAGTCTGTTATGTGTTCACTTGATTAAACGGAATGCATTTTATTGCTGCATTTGCATGCTTTTCTTTGAACTCTGGAGTCAAGCAACTGAATCTCTTTGAGGATTAAGCACATTTTAGTGGTGTCTCTGTATAAATTATTGGCAAATTAGCAGACTGTTAATGTCTCAGCTTTGACAATACTTGCTGGGGGGAAATGTGCAAAGAATGTATTCTGTCTTGGCTCTGATTATGTTGGTTGATGTTTGTAGTATATAATACGATTGATTAAGAGTCTAGGTTTGAGGAAAATTAAGTGTCTTAGAGCCACAATGGGAAGTTACTGAGTAGCTCCAAGGAGCTACTCTAAGTAGCTGTCATCTACTGTAAGCTCAGTCATCTTTGTTCAAAGAAAGGATTTGACTATTTGCTCTTGAAAAAGAGGTTCTGGGACTCTTCGTTAGTAGAGGGGAAAGTTTGCAGGTTTTGATTTGTCTGTCCTGCCAGGGCCAGCAGTACCCATAAAATTGAGATACTTAATTATAATCAGACAAGATAGCAGCAGATGTTGCCTTTTAGGAGCCAGTGGTTGTTGACTCATCTCCAGCAGTGGCCAACACAAATGCTTCAATGTAAGAGTAAAAGCAGCTACAATTGGTGCTGATAGGCCAGTGGGGATGACATTTCTTCCTAAGCAAGGAATGCTGCTGGTTGGTCTGTATCATGAAGCATGGAGGCCTTAATAGCTATTCTAGGTAATGTAACAGGGAATTACAACCTCAAGAGAAATCTTGGAAAGTTCTGCTTATATTTGGTGGTGTTCTCTCTTAGTCTTTCCCCTTGTATACTTCTTTCATTGAATCCCCTTGTTTTTATTTCTTGCTGCTTTTGAATGTTTGTGAACTGTGCTTCTTTGGCAAGCATGTAAGGAGATAGGAACAGAAATAAAAGGAGGTCAGGCTCATCCTAAAATATACAGCACGTGTCACAATGTATGGTGACATCCCCAGTCACCTGGTTGGATGAACTGAATCACACTGAATATGTGCCACAGGAACAAGGGACACATGAGAATTGAGTTGATCATAAGTTGCCACTGTGTTTTAGTTATTTCTCTGGATGTATAGAGTTGGACCTCATCAGGAAGAGAACTCTAAGTTCCCGTGTACTGTGAGGCTGGTACTGTAACAGCACCTAAAAGCCAAAGCGAGGTTGTGTGGATGTGTGTTTGCTTGAATAAAAGACACGCAAGAGTGACCTCTGAGAATTTTGGTGTTATACACAGCCCATTCCTGTCCTCGCCTCCTTCCATGTTTAAAATGGCAGCGTACTAGAAAGTCTCTCTCTTTAGGGGTAACATGCTCTGTTTTCCAGCTGGTTGTAGGCAGTGGTAAAGTCATTATCTGGCCTGCCGCTGTTGCCTCTAAAGGAGGGTTTGGTGTGTGTAAGGAAGTGGCGCTGCTGGGGAGGGAGGAACCCCTTGCTGACCCTGCCATTCCCTTAGAGGGAAGATTGGCACTCCAGGTCTCCCCCCAGCCTTTGCTTCCTACCCATCCCCTTCCTATTGCAAAAACAGCCCAGCCTGGCCTTGGCCTCTTTTCTTCTTGCAGTGACAAAACTCAGCTTTGCCTGTGTTGCTGAGAAGCTTTGAGGTGGCTCTGGATAAACAGCTTCTGCCTTTCATCTTGCAGACTGCAAGCATTAATGAGTAGGCAATGGTATCATGGACATCAGACTGCGTTTGGTGATGAGTTAAGGGTTTGTTTTGGTCTCCCTCACTCTAAGTGTACTAATTGGGTGAAGTGGAAACCTCTTTAACCAGAGATGAGATTTCTGGATGGAGCCAGGATATTTTGGACATTTTTCACTGATTTTGGGGGTTTGTTTTGTTCAGGTAGAATATGATATTTTTTAAATAGGTTTTGATCATTTTTCAATTTAAAAAGACAATTCCTTTTGAAATTTCTTTGGCTATGACTGAAGCCAGTTGTGTTCAATTGATTCAGAAAAAACAATCTCTTGAAGACAAAATAAAATGTTTTGTTTTACCACAATAGATTTTGGTTTTGCTTTCAAACTTCACTCAATACTTAAAAAAGAAACACCTCTCCTACAAAAAACAAAACAAAATAAAACCAAGAACAAAGAAAAAAAAAAAACCCAAACTTTGTTTACTTCAGATTGACCTGTGATGATTTTTTTGAGTCTTATTTTTCTGCTCAGCCAATAAATAAAAAGTGATCAGTTTTTCACAAACCTTTCTGCACTCTTGATTTGTATCAGAGAGCTAAGGTACTCTGAAGTTATGGCTTCTGAATGAAAAACTAAACTTTTCTGCAGCCTCCAGTAAGGCACTGTAGACGGTGGGTTAAGCCTTGCTCTCGTCCCCAGCATTTCCCCCTGGTTGGCTGCATGCAGGACTCAGAGCATTGTGACGACTCTTCAGGCTCACAGCCAAGGTACTTGGGGCTCCCTCCACCATGCAAAGAACTGTGACAGGACCCACTGTGCTTTGAGGTGAATTACTCAAATCTTTATGTATGATCGGAGCAGTAAAGAGACCAGAAGAGGTTTATACTCTAAAGCCAAGTTTTACACAAATGGGAACAAAAACTATGAACTGTTTTAAATAGAAAAACTAAAATGATGACATGAGGCAATGGCAGGGCCCCCCCCCCCCCCCAAAAAATGAGCAAGGGGCAAAGGGGCCCCCCCCCCCCCCCCAACAAACAGATCCCTTTCTCAAGAGATTTTCATGTCAGTATGGTGTGCAAAGCCTCTGCCAGATGTTGACATTTTCCATTTTTGTTTTGCTGTTTTTTGAAAATGGATTACTTGAATCACCAGGCAATACCAGATAATCTGCATCCCTGGACATCCAATGGAAAGTAGTGAAAAGCTTTCAAGACAAAACCAAGTAAAGTACAAGAATGCTGGGAACATTTGGTGGGGCTGGAACTCCAGAGCTCCACGTGGCCTTTTTTTGTATGAAAAACCCACATGCAAGTGGCTTTCAAACCATCTAAGTATTCATAACACTTGTTCAGACACAGACGTTGGGTCATTTCCTCAATAGTGCTATCAAAATGAATGAAAACTCCGGGACAGTAAGGTCCTCACCTGCTATAAATTAGCTTCAGTGATGCCAATTTAGATTCTAGGATTGGAATTCATCTGACACAATGCCTTTATTTTCAGTGCAAACTTTGTGATCTGAGCAAGCTGTGCTAGCCTTTATTTGGAGAGATTCATCTCAGCCTGAAGTAGCAGTCTGAGATAAGCCAGGGGAATTGTGCCTACTTCCCTCCACTGAGTACAAAGGGAGAAGGGGCACGTTATACTGTAGACAATGAATGTTAGGTGAGGTGGATTTGACCCTGATCGTTGCTTTCCATAAAAATGGAGACGAAATTCTCATTGGCTTAGGCATTTTTAAGAGCTCCATAAAGATAATGTAGATGCAGGGACATCAGCATTATGGTCAGATATTCTGACCTTTTGCCATCCTGTGAACAGCCTCTTAATCCACAAAAGAGCATACAAAAGTCAAATGAATGTAGCTGCCCAACTTGAGATGCTTTAAGGGGTCTTGATTTAGAAAGCAAGTCTCCCAACCTGTCAAAACTTGACCCCTGGGCCATGCATCAAGGTGGGAACCAAGCCTGAAACATTAGGCACTCTAGAGCTTGTGGAGACAAAGAAGCTGAATACAGAGCTCTGCATGTAATGCGGGCTAAGCAATGCCTATTTTGGGGAAAGTCACAGGGATTTCTGTACTAGACAGCTCCATGATGCAGAGGCTTAAATGGCTGCCTGTGTAGCCAGTCACAGAAGTGTTGACATCAAGAGTTCTTTGCTGGTGGACATGTGGATGTCCAGAAAAATGAGACATCTATCTGTGAGTAGGAATTTTAAGAACCTGCATCTTTAATTTCTGCATTCAAAATAACAGCTACTTCCTTCGCCAGTTCAGCCCTAAGGACTTGCACCTTTCCAGAAATGTGTAAAAACATCTGTAAGTGCAGGAGAACTGGGCTCCAGAGAACTTGTACGTCCAACAGTATGTATCTGTAGTGTCTGCCTTTCAAGCCTCAGTGGTGTTGCCTTTGGAGTCAATGAGAATTTTGCTATTGACCTCAGCTGGAATGAGATCAATGGGAACAAGCCCTTAGGTAAATATGCCCAGATACATTAATCAAAGGTGTGTTTGTTTCCTTAATGACTTTTTGGACCCAGCAGAAGGGAGGATTTCAGATTGTTTCAATAGAATGAGGGCAGCTTTAAGAGTGCAGTTATAAAAGCCAGACTTTAAAGGTATTTAGCAATTGTCTAAGTAGCCGGTATGTGTGTCTTGAATTGTTTGATTTGAATGCAAAGGTCACCCCAGAGATGTGTGTAAATGTCTCCAGGATTTCTCTTTTTTGGTTTCTGCAGTGCTCCAATTACCTTTCACAGCACTGTTGATGCAGACATACTGAACCAGCTTTGTTTTGGCTGGAGGTATAAAACAGTCTTAGCTAATTTTCTGATAGATTTTCTTCTGTCTCTTTGCCAACCTAATCTAAAATCTCTTTGGTTTTTATATGCTACCAATCTATTGTGTGCATGACAGCATTAAGTCATGCCAAATGAGTGAACCAGCGATCAAAATTTTTTTCCTAATATCTCATTGAAATGCAATTAGACATTTTCACTTTTGACAATTACCCTACATTTTAATAACAAAAAGAGCACTTGAGATACTTTAATAATGTGCATTTTTTTTAAGGAGAGGGAATTTATACTTGACCCTGACAAAGCATTCATTGTAAGCACGTACTATGTGATATGGATTTTGTAACACAGGCACAGACCCATACACAGATATGTGTGTACACACACTAGTACTGCAGACTTTTTATCATTTTAAACTATCCTGGTGTCTAGGGAAATGTAATGACCTTGAGGGAGGAAGAAAAAAAGATGAAACCATGCTGAAAAACTTTTATCTTTTTATTATTGGTGCCTTTACATTAATACTGCTGTTTTGTGCTGAGAAAACCAATCTGTTACATGTAAGGTAACTGTAATATACAACATAGAAATGCAGTCTAAGTTAATTACAACAAGGAGCTACAAAAAAATTTCGTAGGAAAGAAGTCACCTAACATTGCAACTGTGCTTGCAACAAATCACTCCCTTACTGCAGGACTATGCACATTGTGAACCATGGTTATTTACATGTCCCTTACAACCGTTAACAACAGAAAGGCTAAAATCAGTCTAAAAAGTTCCAGAACATCACTATATACTGTACAATCCTCAAAAATAATTTATTACACTGTTTCTAAAAAAAGGTACTAGTTTTGTTTTGATTTCTTTTGTTTTCTGGTGTTTTCCGGAATGCACAACATGTGCAAAATTTTGCCTAACAGTCTAAAAACTCAAGAACTGAACTGCAAGTCACAATCACAGAGATGAAGTGGTGGAGTCCAGAACTTCCCTTCCATTGCAGACGGTCGGTACGTACATACTAGCAGATGCTGAAAGAGAAAGAGAGGGGAAAATGAATTGACTTCAGCAAAAAATTACAACACACAGGATTAGAACTTATGTTGATCCGGACCATCTCACCCAATTTAACCAAGATGCTCAATGAAAAGTCACTGTATGTGACTGTGTCAGCAGTGGAGCTGATGGAGGTACTACTTGCACCGCTACAAGGCAATTCAGATCTGAGGCTGAAGCACCCTCTGGAGGAACCTGATTTCTCTTTGCTGACCTTTGAGAGCACTTAGGGTGACTAAGCTTCTCCGAGAAGTGTCTGAATAAAATACATGAATTTTTTTTGATGATTCTGGGCCACTGGGTCTCACTTTATAGCACTTTGGATGGTAGTGTGAATTAATACAGCTAGAATGGTGCTAAGATATCCCTGTAGAATAAAAAGTGAACCTTTGGATTTTTCGTGTCTTATTGTTAAGAAATGCTAAGGTCTGATCCTTTCAGATTTCACATAATTGGAATGGACATTCCTGAATTAAAATATAAGCATTTTTAAATCCGGGAGAGAATCTACCTCTGCATATTAGGACTGTGTCTTGATCTACTTTTTAATTAAAAAAATAAGAATTCTGTACATGTTGGATGGAGTGAAGAAATTTTTGACTAACTGAATTTGAAAGCAAGATTATTTCTCACCTAATCCCAGAATATTTTTCTGGCCATAATACCCTTCTTTTCTGGGAGCTCTGGGTCAGGATTCAATATGCGTCCAGAGGTGAGGGCCAGATTCTGGTACCCTTGTCTATATTGCCTAATATTTTATACAGTAGGTTTTCATTGCTTCAGTGATATGACAATTGAATCTGAGTATGAGAATCTGTTTCTAAATGTATTTGTATTTTGACTGTAGGATATATTACCATTCTGCTACAGCCTTGTGAATTTTAATTTAAAAGCAAGCTGGTTTGTCCATCTTTGTTAAAATTATCCATTGGGCATCAGGAATGCGTTTTCAGATTCTCTGTGACATCTCTGCTCATGGTACCATAAAGCTGTTTTTTGAAAGATACGTTAGGTTAATGATAACAGTGACCCGGACAAATGTGATGCCTTCATCAAAGAAAACACAGGGCAAGCAATGACTTAGTAAACTCAATCATCCAGTGTAAAAAGCAATTTATGCAGCTGACAAGGGCATGCTCAGTCTTCCAAAACTGGTGCTGGCTACACTCTCAGTTGCAGACTGGTTCTCTAAAGACGCTCAGCATGATTTTCAGAACAGATCATTCTTTCTTCAAATCAGCTACTGTTTCTAATTATTTCATTGACTGAATAAATATAAATGGAAAACAGAACTGGTATAACAAGAGAAATTTAGAGGCACCTATTGGACTAACCTACTATTAGAGGGCAGGACATATTCCTGATAAACAGGTGAGCCAAGAATGAGCCCCTGCTCTGAATTAGGTAGATGGATTTTGATCTCTCACAACCTGGATATATGTTGAAATGTCATTTGTAGTTAAAAGGGCACAAGGCATCACGTCTATGATTTTGTGAAAATTAACTATCAGGTTTTGTATTCAGTTTTTAACTGGGTATGATATGGCAGCACATTGACCTGAAATTTTTATTATTGTTGTTATTTTTATTTCTACTTATTGTTGGCAAATAGATAAATCAGCACTGCTTAGGAGACCTGATTCAAATCCTTGTTCTACTGCTGTATGACTGCAGGCAAAAGCATTTTGTTTCTGTGAACATCAGTCACCGACCCAGATCTTTTTTAGTTTCAGGGTTTTTTTGAAGTCCAACACACTGAAGAGCATGAATAGCTCAAATACTACGGTAACTGGGTCAGGAGGATGTCAAAGTTGGACAGAGAAACGTGGTGGTAGGTGAGATACAAGTGGCCTTGCCTTTTGAGTTCTCAGGCTTCCTCCACAGCATGTACCTCTCTTGTAGTGCTGGGAGGCAGTTATTAACTCTGCTGAGTGGAGTAAAGTGTTCACACTGAGTATCCAGCTCTCTCTGAGACTGAACAAAAGATCTTGCTTTTCCTTACAGACCTCAGCAATGTTAATCACTGGCCGTGCAGGGTTCTGAGTTTCACATCATGTCTTATAGCAGCAGCCAAGGGGTTTCCTGAAATATGGCCAGACCTGCTAGAGACACTTCACCTCCATTTTGCCTTGTGTTGAGGCCAAGAAGAAATGTGTGACATGACCGAAGTCTTGATTTGGCTGCAATTCATGCTTTTGATCTCCTCTTTTCTGGCAGTCCCTCATGTTGCTTTGATAATCCAAGGCAAAGAACCAGAGGTAAAAAGCAAGAATCCAGCGCTGCCATGGGCACCTTGCAGCATGCCTACATTGTCAGGAACAGGCAGGTTCAAACTTGCTTTCTGTCTGCCACTTCCTCTACTCACGCTCACAGCCGGACAACTGTGAGTTAATCATGTATAAAAGCCATATATCAGGGCTAGTTTGGAGCAAGGGCTGGGAAAATAAATTCTGAGAGAGAAAACTTACCAGCCTGGCTATAAACAGTAGCTTCAATTCTTTTTCTGACCCCTGTGGAGGACACCTGGAGGAGCTCAAGTCTCTGTGCTGCTCTCCATGTGGACATAACTTGGATGAATGACACTGTCTGGGTGTAAAAGCTCAGCCTGAATCATGTAGGTGCTTAAATCAGTCCTGAGCTCTCTGGGAAGTTTTATGAGTGCTGACCTCCTACCTTATCGGAATACCTCTGCCAAGCCCATAAAACAGGCCACAGGAAAACTGGGGAACATCCCAATGGGGAAAACACTGCAGGGGAAGCAGAACTTACGCAGCACTCTGCCAAATGTGAATTTTCAGATTCAAATAAACGTGTACGGATATATAAATTTCAAAAGATGTCATATACCTAGGTACACATATATCCTGCCTCTCTTCAGCTTAAATCTATATTCTTTTGTAGTCCAGACTTCAGCTGTCAAAATGATCAAAGCTCAATGCCTCTAAAACAAGTTTCCTCGCTTAGCAGTCAAGTATTCACCTCTACTTGCTTTCTGCAGAGCATGTAGCAAAGAAGAGGAGCTGTATTCAGATGAGTACATGAGGTGCTCAGTTTAGCTCTCATGACCACTACCACACTGCAGTTGCAGTGGTATGGTTGGCTGACCACTGACTCAGGCCTTCCCTCCACTGATCAGTTTAGGGATGTAATTGCGATACACATTTAGAGCTAATACTTAACACTACCCAAGAGCATCATGAGTGTCACTTACCTTTTCTCATAGCATTTGACCAGTTTTCATGGTTCAAGGAACTGTGTTAAAAACTGTCTGTGAGTCACTTGCTGTTGATGACCCACTATGCTCAATGGCTGATGGAGTGAAGAGGTGATGGCAGCCTTGAGATGCAATGAGGGTGGGAATCCTTGGAGATAGAAAACACATTGCCCATTCGAGCAACTTGGGTACTCCTGTCCTCTGAAGCTCTGATAATGAACAAGAACTGGCTTTTTGGATGTTGCTGTTACTAGAATGCCCTGGAGCTAATTTTGATCAGCCTCATACTAAGCAGTTTCTGACTGATGAAAACACCATCAAGACCAAAATAAAAACAAGCTGACAGCTCCGGGACTGATGAGAGGAATATTTTAGACATGGATTAGAATCAATTAGGATGACAACCTTTTTGGAGGTTTATAACTGACAAAACAGTTAAAAAAAATGAAAATTTATTTAAAATAATTTACAAATAAATGGAAAGGAGTAAGGAAAAAATTTCCTTCTTAGAAATATTGGTGCAGTGAATTCTCAGTGTTATTTTCCTAAATAATTGTCCGAGATGGAAACTATAGAGCTTTTTCCATTGTATATGATGGACCTTTTAGTCCTACTTCCAGGTCCATGTCTTGCCACGGTTCGAAAAGACCAACAAAGATGAGCAGCCCTTATTCAGCTAGGTGTAAGCAGGAAAAGTAGATGTCTGCAGCCACCTTTCTAAACAATGAAGTAGCAAGAGACTGTAAGTCTGGATTTTTATGCTTTCCTTAATGTCTTAAAGCTATTCACAAACCTGAAAAAGTAGGCTTTTAATGTAAAGATGTGCACTGAGGATGTCTTTCAGTTCTCTCGTGCTTGCACACACACATGTATTATCCAGTGTTATAATAAAAATATCAAATTCCAAAATGCAATCCTGTACAAAAGTATCCATGAATCAAAATGGTTTCTGTCTAAGCTTATTCTGTAGTATGAGAGAATTAAAAAACTTGCAAAGACCACTTATACCAAATTCATAAGGGACGAAAATAATCTCATGGGACTTACCATTTCATCAGGGGACCAAACTTCTAAAGGTTATTGGGAATCCATTGGTCTTGCAAATCCAGCCCTTTTGGGAGTGCTCAGCACTTTGGGCACTTAAGGCCATCTCATCTCTCTTGGTTTAAGTTTTCCAAAACAGCAAGGAGATTTTTGCTTCTAGTGTCAGGGCTGGATGCAGTCCTGACTCGGTGGGATAGGGGAGGAGTAGAGCCACGCGGCTGCTCTCTTGTTAAGGGACCATGAGCATTCACGCACAGTATGGTTTGGGGTAGGAGAGCCAGAGATGGCTGGGACCCCTTTACCTTCTAATCCATGCCAATGTGATACACAGCAGGGTCCCAGTTTCCTTCCGCATTCTGTCTGAAACTTGAAGTGCCAGAGATTTCTAGCCAATTTTGAAATTTAAGTCATACTCAAAAACCTCAGGCTAGGTTAGTGTGAACTTGCTGGCAAGCCTTGATCTGTGTCCCCCCTTTCCTCTCTTTCTTATTCCTTGCCTCCCTCTGGTTGTAGTGTGCTTTTTCAATTAGCTTTCCAGGTTAGACATGCTGTCTGCAGAGCTCCGTGAACAAGGTGCTGTGTGCTCCCATCCTTGACTAGTTAAGCTTGACAAAGAAAAAAAACCCAAACATACAGGTGACCTATTTTTTTTTTTTAATCTAAAAAAATCTCTGAGCAACTCACCCAGAAGAGGAGTGACAGCCTCAAATCAAAACCACAGATGTGAATCTGCTTGGGATGAAGAGTCTAAAGATGAGGAAAAGGAGGGAGGCAGAGCAGATGAGCTGTCCTTGCAACCGAGCACTGATTGCTTCTGCTGGCTGTGGCACTTACAAAGGGTATTGCTCAACGCTCAGCATACAGATACAGTTTATGGCATCCCTTGTATACGTTTGCTGTGGACTTGGAGCCTTTCCTTATAATGCAGGCGATAAAAGCCATTGAGAGCATGCTGCACTGTGGCCCAGGTCCTGTTGGCATGTCATTTTGACAGGAATACTCCAGGGCAATCTGTTCCTGTTGCTGCTGCAAGAGTGACAGTGAGCGACGGGCTCTACTTGCTTTGTGCAGCGGGAAGGAGTCAGAGCCCACCAAAAGCTTTCTGCTGACTTTAGTGAGGTTCAGAGTGGGCTCTGAGCTGATTCCCATGGGAGGGGGATGAGTTTTTCTCTCCAGACACAAATGACGTGATGCTTCCATGGGGTACATAGCCCAGCCTATAAAGGTCATTTTGTTGCTGGTAAAAATCCCATCTTGTCTTTACGCAAACTCACCGTGACCCCACATCCTTATAGAAAGGTGGCAGTTTTGTTACTTACACTGGGAGTAAGTGGTCCCGGTCCCACTGACACTGAACCTGTTGAGATGGAGTCTGTGAGTGACCACGTTCTTCTGGGGCTGGAAGAGGATGATGTGCACCTTGGGCGCGAACAAACAGCCCAGCACAACAAAGCCGCTCAGACTCACAGAGATGCACATGGTGGTGGTTTGCACCTAGGAGAGAGTGGGCGCAAAGCACTGTGTTTCAGTATGGAAAGCTCTGAAATGCAGAATATTAGAAGCATTATCATACAACAGTGGGAAACAGAGTCCTGGGGGTTTGCACTGGTACAGGCTGGCTTGAACATCCTTATCTTCCACAATCCTAGGATCATATAAGCGAGGTGCATGGTGCTGATGGTGCCCTGTGTCTCTACATATCTGGGGGAGCTTGACTGAATGTGTTCACCCTCAGTTTAGTGAAGGAATGGTAGTCCTGCTCTCTTTCTCTCATCCTCCACGTCCTTGATTTCTAAATTTATCAGAAGTTCTCTGTAACACCTGTCATGCAACAACTGGGCAAAGCTGGCTGCAGTGGAAACTGGCTTGCACATACCATGCTTTATGTGGGGTTACGTTAGATGCCTCATGCAAAGCATCTACTTGAAAACAATTTAGCCTCCAGCCTCAATCTTAATCAGAGTACTTGAACAATCCCTTGCAGGAATATAGGTGTGATTTGGAGTAAACATAAGAGCTGGTGACATTTGTCAAACTGGACCTGAAAGGAGCCCTGACTTTGAGACATAATTTTTTGGGATCAGAAATGAATTGTTTGTAAGGCTACAGGATTTTAGAGTAGTTGTGTTGGGTCATTTGTTAGTGTAACTTTGCTGGCACTGTCTATCTTTCTTCCTTTTTGTTCAATGGTATAACTAGGTGCCAGTTAACTGCCTCATTTTCAGTTTATGTTCTTTTCTTCCAAGCAGATTTCTTAATTAAGATGTTGAATTAAACTGCTTTAAACTCTACTGCTTAATTTGAATGATTATACATCCATGGCTCATTTTTCCTTAGTTACACTCCTGCAGTCCTTGGAGATTAGCCTTCTTCCATGGGAATGCTGCTCATATCTCCTTGTCAGGAATAATTGGTGCAAAATGAAAAACAGAGTAGAGAATGGACTTTGTTGCTTTATATATATACAGAGCACCAAGTGCTTTGTCAGCAGTAAGAATAATTAATGTGATCATATAATAATCACTCTTTACCCAAGATAGATGTGGCAAGCATCATGAAAAGGTGCTCAGCTCTCACAGGGTGAGTGAACATGGAAGACCCTACAGGGGCAGCATGAGAAAGGGACACCTTAGTGTTTCCAGCTGCACTTTCTCCTTCACTTCTCTGCATTTGGCCCACAGGGCTCTGCAGTCAATTCTGGGTGGGTCTTGAACTGGTAAAACAGGACTGGGAGTTTTCTTATAAAACAAGAATAAATGAAGGTGGTAGTTTCAAGGTAAGTTCTCTTCACTAACAAAGCCCTCCTCCTCCCCAGCCTGCTCTGCTAGGGTTTGTGCCTCCTGAAGCAGCTCAGCTGTGCTGACACAATTATACACTCGATCAATGAAATGATTTCGGTTAAAAATAGCCCCATCCCACAGAGTTCCTTTTAACCAGGTCAGTTCAGTGGTTTGGTGTGTAAGCCAGCCTCACAGACACCGATGTGCTGGCAGAACGGAGGCAATCCTGCTAGACCAGGCAGGAATAACTGGCAGGGCGGGGTGAGCTCCTTGGGCCAGAATTACCCCTAAAGAAAATGCAGGGAGAAACTGTCTAAACAGTAGGAACTTTGGACACCTGATTTTGTTATAACCAGTTTAACACCCAGACTTTTCCTTTCCTGTGTTATTGCTGCATTTCTTAAGCTTTCATCTAAGGTGATCAAGTTGAAAATTCCCTTGAATGTGCTAGATATAAGGGCTGCTGTGAATTTATGTTCTGTGTACTTATTTAATCATATAAGGTTTCATTGTGCCTTTGATTCTGAAATCAGTGTGGATCTCTACATGAAAATCAATGCCATCAGAGAAATCTATCTTTTCCAGGAGCTCTCCTTTAAATTTTTGACAGTGCAGCTAACAGTCAGCCACCAAATCCATCAGTTTGCAGAGCAGTTTCTGGCCTCTGCTTTGGGATCTTCTAGACCTTCTGGGAACATCTTCTGGGATTATTGGAGGACTCGTGGGAACACTTGAAGGAATGTCAGGGTGCCTTGCTGCTGCTGGGAGAGGACTGCTGCAGGAGGCTGTGACTTCTAGCAACCTCCATCAGCTCCTAAGGAGCTCTGTCAGCTGTCCTTGACCAGCCTGAGCTTTTGTCTGAGCTGACCTTTGGTTAGGTAAGTTTGGGCACTCTTGCTGCAGGTGCTGAGAAGAACCCTCTGTAGGTGCTGGGCAGCTAACAGGTTCAGCAGCATGCAGAAATGTGCACGGAAGAGGGCTAGAAACTTTGCTGAAGGCTGTGTTTGTGTGCAGAGCAAGGGGGATGCCTCAGAGCACGGTCCCCAGTGCCTGCAGGGGCAACTGCCCCTGGTATATCAGGACTGACCCAGACTGAGATCCTGAGGGAGGATGCAGCTTTGCAGCTTTGGGGCTGCAGGGATGCCTGAGGCCTCTCATAGGGGCTCAGGAGTTGCTCTCCCTTTCTGCAGAAGTGGAGGATTTCTGTTGCCAAGTTAAGGAGCTACGGGAGGAGGTCAGCAAACTTTGCAGCATCAAACATGATGAGAAAAATGTGGACTGTATCTTCTCTGACACTCTGCAGGTACAAGAGCCTAGCCTGTACTAGAGAAGAACTAGGCAGCATATGTTTGTTCAGTTGGGAAATGAGGACTCCCATGATGATGAAGGCTGGAAATCTGTGACTTGTGGCAGCAGGCAGATGGCTCCTGCTCTACTTACAGATCTGCAGTTACAGCATAGGTCAGTACCCTGGTAGCAGGGCGAGGAGAGGGAGTTGCACTCTGTGTGAGATAGGAGGGGGAGTGGATGGAGCTCTGCCCAGCAATGGGTCTTGAGCCAGCTGATAGATTATGGGTCAGGATTAGTAGGCAGACCAAAGTGGACAACATTGTGGTGGGTGTCTGCTATAGACCACATAATCAGGAAGAAGTAGAAGAGGCATTTTTTCAGACAACTGGAAGAAGTCTCACGTTTGCAGGCCCTGGTCTTCTTGGGGCAGTTCAACCACCCTGATACCTGCTGGAGGGACAACACAGCAGGGCAGAGGCAATGCAGGAGGTTTTTGGAGCACACTGAGATCAACTTCCTAAAACAGGTGATTGAGGAACTGATGAAGGAATATGGACTGCATGATCTTATACTTACAAACAAGCAAGAACTTGTCAGGTATGTGACAGGCAGGGAAAGCTTTGGCTGCTGCAACCAGCAAATGCCGGAATTCAGGATCCCGAGAGGCGGAAGCAAGGCAAAAAGTAGGATCTCCACCCTGCAAAGCAGGCTGACCTGTTCAGGCATCTTGGAAGAATAGCATGAGATATGGCCGTGGAGAGAAGAGGGGTCCAGGAGGCCTGGCTGTTTTTCAAGAATCGCCTCATCCAAACTTAAGAATGGCCTATCCCAATGGGGAAATCAAGTAAATGCGGCAGGAGGCTTGCATGGCTGAGCAATGACTGCCAGTAGTCAGTATGGATTTACACAGGGGACGTTATGCTTAACCAACCTGATAGACTTCTACAGTGAAATGACTGGCTTGGTGGATGATGAGAGAGTAGATGATATTATTTATTTTGTCTTTAGTAAGGCTTTTTACACTGTCTCCTATAACATCCTCATTGACAAGCTGATGAAGTACAGGCTAGGTAGATGGACAGTGAGGTAGACTGAAAACTGGCTGAACTGCTGAGCTCAAAGCATTGAGATCAGTGGCACAAAGTCCAGCCAGAGGCCAGTCAGTAGTTGGTCCAGTGGTTGATATAAGGACCAATGCAGCTCAACACCTTCATTAACAATCTGGATGCTGGGACTGAGTGATCCCTCAATAAGTTTGAAGACGATACAGAATTGAGAGGAGTCGTTCATACATTAGATAGCTGTGCTGCCACCCAGAGGTACCTCGACCAGCTGGAGAAATGGGATGACAGGAACCCCATGAAGTTCAACAAAGGGAAAAGTGGAGTCCTGCACCTTGGGAAGAACAACCCCAGGCACCAGTACATGCTGGGGGCCACCCAGCTGGAAAGCAGCTTTGCAGGGAAGATCTTGAAGGTCCTGGTGGGACAACAAGTAGATCATGAGACAGCAATGTGCCCTTGCAGCAAAGAAGGTCAGTGACCTCCTGGGCTGCATTATGCAGAGTGTTGCCAGCAGGTCAAGGGCAGTGATCCTTCCCCTCTGCTCAGCACTGGTGAGACACATGTGGGGTGCTGTGCCCAGGTCTGGGCTCACCAGCACAAGAGAGACATGAACATACTGGAGGAAGGGCAGCAAAGGGCCATGGAGATGATTAAGGGACTGGAACAACTGTCAAATGAGGAGAGGCTGAGAAAGCTGGGACTGTTCAGCCTGGAGAAGAGAAGGCTTAGGAGGATCTTATCAGTGTATGTAAGTACCTCATGGGGGGAGAAAAGACAAAGGAACCAGACTCTTCCTAGAGGTGCCCAGTGACAGGACAAGAGGCCACAGGCACAAACCAAAATACAGGAAACTCTGTGTAAACATAAGAAAACTGTGAAGATGGTCAAACACTAGTACAGGTTGCCCAAAGAGGTTGTGGAGTCTCCATCCTTGGATATATTCAAAACCTGACTGGACATAGCCCTGAGTGACCTGCTTTGAGCAGGGGAGGTTGGACAAGGCAATCTCCAGAGGTCCCTTCCAACCTTGATAATTATGTGAGGACATGTTGTGTGTGGAAAAATCCCATAGTTGGCATCATGATTGAATCACCAAGAGCTCTACTATAAACCCTTCCGCCAGAATTCATTTTGCTGTTAAAATTTATTGGATTCAGGGAGAAGAGCGTGGTTGTGCCAATATAAGCAAGCTTAGTCTAACAGAAAAAAAGCATGTATGTATTGAAGGCATAGCTATACCATAAACCCTTCTCACTGTAGAGAAAGCCTTAACCAAATAGCAGGGTTATTTGGTGGGTGAATCTGTAAGACATACAATAATATGCCATTCCAGCATATCTAACATGCTGTCTGGCGCCTGTCATATAGGGTTCATACAGGGACATTTCTGCTTCAGTATTGGTAGGGATGTATAGTACGTTGAACTACTTTTTTTTTTTTTTTTTTTTAACTACTACAGTGAGGTCAACACCAAATCTCTGGATAAATTTCCAGGGACTCTCTCTTTTTTTTCCAGAAGGGTGAGTCCTAAGTGATGTTTGTGCTTAATGATAAAATCTCAAGCCAGTCAACATTCATTGTTTTCATTGCTACTATTATGTTTCTAAGGCTGTTTATTGGTGATGCCACCAGTATTGGTCTATATTAGGATTGCACAGGTTGATTCAGAGTCAACATGTAACACTGCGTGGAAATTAAATACGGGCTTTTCAAAGGAACCCCAGAAGTGTAGACATCTAGGATGGGACTTTCAAAAAGCTCCTGACATGTCATGAAAGTATCAAAAAAGGTGTTAAAAGCATTTTCTATCAATTTGGTAGGACTCGAGTTGGTTTATTTGGAACCTTGTATTTAAATTAAATGCCTACGAGTCATTTTGAAAATCCCACTCAGGAGATATGGCTGAAAAATGCTGCTTGAGCAATCAAGTCATGCTCCTCTTGACCATTCGTGTCTGTGCTGCCCACTCATGTGACTGTCTGCGCTAATATTGCCCTCCTTCTGTGTCTATCTTCCTGATTATTTTGAGCGTCCGAAGCTGTTCCCCAGTGCCTTACTTTTCCTTCATTAGCTTCAATCCATTACTTGCCATTCTAACTTCTCCTGAGACTGAATAATTCCTGTCTCTTTTTTTGTTGCCTTGAAATTATTTATAGTCTGTGATCACGTCTCCCTGGGTTTACTCTTGTCTAGACTAAATATATTTAGCTCTTTTACTGTCACTCAGCGTGTCTTACTGTGTTGTTTGTTATCTATCCTTGTTTTCTTGAGGTTTTCAGTACCTTTCCTCGGCTGAGAAAAATAGTACTAAATATACTGTTCCAAGGTGGTCACACCAAAAGTATGTTAAATGACATTATTAGCTCCACAGTTTTACATGCTATTTCATGTACATACTACTGGTTATAATACTACCCTAAGTTAGTCTGCTACCTTTCTTCTGGGCAGAAAGTTGAATTAATTCACTGCAAACTGCTGTAAGGGCCAACTCCAGCAGTCACTTCTCACATCATAATAACCGTGAGATTTCTAGCAGAGCAGATCTGAATCTTTTTCTGAGACAATTTACTTCTGTCCAAAAATATGATTTTATTGAACTTGAAGGTTTGCAACACTATGTGACAATTTAAACAATTTAATGTTTTTTAAGTTTGTTGGTGAAGGCTGAGCAATATTTTCTGCTCAGTGAGGTATGTGTTTTATCCCATACAAAGTGGAGAAAGAATAAAAAGTTCTACATTCAAGCATAACATTTGTTGGAATTTTTTTTAAACAACCCTGTTTCATAGGACATTTTGAAATTCTTTCCTTATCTTTTTTATTTGGAAGAAAATACCGTGTTTGAATGGCAGATTCTTTTGCAGAAGGAGACTAGTTAGTTCAGTTTTTAATTTAAAGCCCACCTCCACCAAATAACTCATTATGACTCATTCTAGCTCATGATCTACTAGGTTTTTCTGTTAGGACTATGACTTCACATACTTATGTACCAGTATGAATGCTTGATCCATACCCTATGCATCTATCACAATCAGACTCATTGTACTAATCCCTTCCACCTCTAACTGTACATGCTCAGTTTGAAATAAGACCATCTTTCTTAGAAATAAGCTAAAATTTGGTAGTATGCTTAGGTGGACATTAACATTGAAACAGAGCTTGTTCGCAAGGGATCCAGAGGACAAAAGAAGTGAAAGAAGCTTTTAGTGAATGACGACAGGGTCCTCTTAAAGTGATGCACATGGTTTATGGAAACGGATATCCAAAGACTTACTCTGTAGTCACTGGATGTCACATAAAATATGGGGAGAAAGGCCAGCCAAATGATGCACGTTGTGTACATTGTGAAACCGATAAACTTGGCTTCATTGAAGTTCTCTGGACATTTCCTTGTTTTGAAGGCATATACAGTGCATAAGACTACGAGGATTACATCATATGTTAAGGAGATTAACATACTGGAATCTTTGACATTGCATTTCAATATGACAGTCTCTCTCTTCTCAGGAAGAGTGTACCGTCTGGTGCCAGGGGCCTCCAAGATAAGCCACACAGACACCACCACAATCTGTACCAAAATGAGACTCAGGCAGATGAAGACCTGAGAGCTGGGGCTGATGAACTTAGGCCTTTGAGCACCGTTCTTTACACCATCAAATATTCTGGCTATGCAGTTTGTTTTTGTCAGAAGGGCAGAGTAGCAGACAGCAAAGGAACTTCCTAGCCCCAAACGACGTAGGGTGCAGATAGCTGGAGAAGGCTTGGCTATGAAGAAGAAAGTCATGCTGTAAGACAGGAAGACCCCAAACAGCAATATGTAGCACAGTTCACGGCCAGAAGCTTTGACCAGGGGGGTATTGTTGTGCTTGATGAACACTGCAACGACCATAAAAGTACAAATAAAGCCCAGGCATGCAATGGTAACAGGACCTATTGCCCAAGCATCTTCCCACTTGATGTAGTCTTCTGGTAGGTCATAACAGCCAGTCAGGTCAGCTGTGGGCCATTTTCCAGGCCCACAGTCTGCACAGGTAAATTCATCAGCCAGGTACTCATAGGTTTCACAGGGAATACAAATCCAACAGCAGACATCTCCTGGTTGCATATTCTTCATCTCGTTAGGAGCACAGGGATCACTGCACTGGGAGATGGGGACAGAGCTCCTGGACCAGTGGATAGAGTCTGCCTCAAGTGACAAGGTTTCTGCCCAGTGACCAACCTTCACATAGGAGTATCTGCCTCCAGTGTACTGGAAATTGAACACGTTGTATCGTCCTATCCCATCTCCATAGGCATCAAATTTGACCATACTGTCCGCGGCATTGGGAGGGTTGAATGGAGCTGTGAAACAAAAAAAGAAATAGAGAATGTTATTATTAATAACAACAGATGACTTTTTTCATCCTTATGGCAAGCACAGACACCTGACAGCTTATAGAAACCAACTGAAGTGCCAACAGGTAAGTCGAGACGTCTGTATCTGTATAATTTTTGAAATGGTTTTGCCTTGTTTGAACTTGGAAGAAGAAAAGAACTCAGATAATAGAACTCTATTTCACTTTACTGCATGAGAAATATTTGTGAATGTGGAGAGTTACATTAGATTACCAATGTCCTTACTTTTTTTGCCCTGGTTACAAATGAATTCTCCAATTATTTCCCCCAGTATGCGCAACTGCTACCTTTCACATTTTCTCTTGAAAGAAAGAGGTCTGCTTCTAACTGAGACTTAGCATTATTTGGTGAAATTTGCCTGTCATGATATAAGGAAATTTAAACGGTCAGATCAATAAACACCAGTTTTGAGGCCAACAGTCTGGAATGCGGTTGAATAGAGGACTCATTTTGAGGATGATGGAGAAGTAACTATGAAGTCCTCAACAATTTCTTACTATGTCTTTTTCATTTCTCCCTGTGTTGTAGGAAGTTTTGAATCCCTTCTAATTTGCTTCAATTTTACAAGTTTCTGATATTTCTTGTCTGGTCTGAGATTCCCAGCATGTGCTGCTTTGGTCCTATATCTTGTTTGGGGAATAGATGAAAAAACCACAAACTGGATCTGTGACCTTCTGTGAAACCAATATTGTAACACTTCCAGCTGGTAAGCTCTGGAGAGTTTTTGTTTTTCCCTCCAGCTGAGGCTCATGCCGGGAATGAAGAAATATTAAAAATGTAGGAGGAAATTGCATTTACTGTGTGATTTATTGGTCATTTGCTGTAGCATCAAAGTTGAACAGCTTTATAGGCAGGAAGCAAACGGGGGGTTTTTTGCAATTGATGAGCAATAAAGGTGATTTCATTCCCCAGTGTCTTTGGTTACAGAAGTGGTTCCACTGTCATTGCTGGAATAAATCTTTTTCCCTGCATCTGTGCCCATGCTATGCAATGAGCAATATCGTATAAGGATGTAATATCTTCTTCCACTTCAACCTTCAGATACTTTGGAATTCTTGCAGTAGATTTATTTAACTTCCATAAAGCACCGAAGCCAAAATCTTTCACCTTTATTCCTGCAGAGCGTTACCTTATTTTGCAGTACTCCCACTAAGGTCAGTAAAAGGGACAGGGGTTTTTGGCACAGAAGCCCTGATTGGAGGGTTGGTGCATAACCTGCACCTCCCCAGGTGCTGGACTTGGAGTGCATTTCTTTCCCAACTTTCTTCTTATCCTAGGGCAAGGTTGGAAGATAATTTATGCCCAGCTACAGTCTCTTCTGGGTTTGAGCCAAAAGTCTGCCTGTTCTTATCCCTGCCCTTTCCTGCGTTTTACCACCTCACCTATGTCAACAACAGTGGTGGACAGCCTTGGTTTGCAGGATGACAGACTAGGTCTGGGTAGCCCAGGAATGTGTAAGAGGATTATTTTCTCTCTTTCTTCACTGTTGGCATCTAGCTGTACTGTTGTCTAGCCCAACAAGACCTCTGAGTCCACAAAAATTAAAGGCAGCATAATACTCCCCCAAATGGCCAGTCCTCCTGGAAATAACATGCCCTAAATTAAACAGGTAGCTAAATTCAAAATATAGGTCAACAAGAAGAATATTAAGCAGCTTCCCTCTCTCCTTCCTCCTGACACATATGTCAAGTGCATAACTTCCAGTGCACGAGTACCCCAGTACAAGTTACATAAGGGTTAGAAATACCAGTGCTTTTCAGGAAAGAGTTCCCCTTACGTAACATGTTTAACAACTTCTTAGTTCTGATAGAATATTTATCATTTAAATAGAGGAGAGTATTTGCCTTGGACTTTGCAGGTAGGTCCAGAAGGCAAAGCAGGTAATCTCACATACAGTTAACTTGAAGCTCATGCATATGTTGCCTTCCATGGGGCTGTTCCCATACTACAAATAGGAAGAAAAGGTTTTTGTAGGACAATAGGTTTTAAGTTAACACAGCTTGTAGCTTGAAACATTCATTTTTAGTGGCTCCTGATAGAGGAAAATAAATCACACTCCTTCAGATGGAAAGGACCAAATCATTTAACCAGACAATGATGTATTAAATTATAGTATGGTGAGCCAAAGCCTACAGATGAGCCCACTGGGTGGCAGCAATTAATACACCTACTAACTACATATGAAATCACTGAGGTATTTTAACTGATGTTTATCAACATATCCTAGATCCTGTAGAACCACTTCCAAAAAATCATGTTTTCAGAAAATATGATCTAATAATAAGCATACAAATAAGATGCTTATAGGCAAGAATGTGATATCATATGAAAGCAAGACTTTATGTTCTAGAATAAAAAGAATAATTTTTGCGTATTGGCAAATGATTTTCCCAGAGATGAAATATCAGGCCATACCATAAGTCACTCTGAGAATTTTTTCGTAGTTAAATTCCAGTTTTATGAATAAACCTACAATCTTTATAACAGGTATTTCTGGCAGGTGTTTTTCACAGTTGTAGCCAAACTGTTTAGGATTTGTGCTTTGGGAGATGAGAGCTAAGACTCTTTGGGTCTACCCATGCTGTTAGCTAAGAGGCTATCTGAACGACAATACAAACTTTGCCTCCTTTGAGCAGTATCTTCGAATCTTCTCCTACCCTTGCACTTCATGAAATGAACTATCCTTATGCAAAGCAGTTTCCAAGAGAAATTCTATAAAAGAAGTTATCAAGGAAAAAAAGGATAATTAAAAGTGACTTAAAGATAAACCAGTGGTGTTTTGTGCTCCAGCTTGCAGCAGTTCAGCAATGAAGATGCAACAGCGGTGACATTTATGACAGCAGGAGAAACACCTAGGTATACTGAGGGCAGAAGACAGAAACCTATGGAGCCGTGGTGCAGGCAGCCAGCCTCTGTCAGCTCACTGAAGAAATCATATCGAAGGAGAAGGATGCCATTGTGTAAGTGGAGGACAAATTCCTTCAGCTTCAGATAAGAGAGGAAACACTGTGTAGTTTTACTACTGTTTTAGTAGCAGATATGGATAAGAAGATAAAATAACATCATAGCTCTTATACAGTGAATTATATCATTTTGTTTTCATCTTCCTACAGTGAAATCATCTTTTCCAACAGTCACATAATGTTTGCAAGTATGTGCTTATGTACTGTTAGAAGCAGGTAGTTACTTTCATTTGGAAATCTTTATTATTTTTGGTGTCAGTGCTGTACAGCTCTTGATGACATGAAAGAATTCAGAAAGAAAATTCTGAAGGGGGGATTTATTTTCTTATTGGCCAAAAACATTATTTTAAGAGGAGGTATGGGAAATGTTTTTTTAAATGCTTCTGATTCCTCACGTTGGCTCAGTTGGGTGAAAAACTCCAGGATCTTTTAACCAGTATTGGGTAGATGAAGAAAACAAAGTGGTTTTAATCCTAATTAGGCACAGGGAAACTTTTAGGAGGCAGGGCAGTCTAGGAAAAGATGAGAGTCATCTTAACTGGTTTGGAATCAGACTGAGTTTTGTTTGCCAGCAACTTCTTTGGGCCAGGAAGGATATTTTGCATACAGAGACTTGCATGTGTCTGGCACAGAGCTGAGTGTATAGATGTTGTCTTATAGAAAATACCATCTGCAACACTTCCTGGTAGAAATGGTGACAGGTATGCCTACATCTGAGAACATCTTTCATATCCATAAAACACAAATCTGTTCCTTGCTTGCAGAGTGTATTCTTTCAAAACAAGGTACAGATCAGAGGCACAGCTCACTTGCTAGGAAGCAATTCATTAATAACAAGGCTTGATGAAAGCTCTGCAGTTTTTCAGCTCGGCAGTTTGCAAAGCTGTGGGATTTGATGCGGTTCACAAAGAAATGTAAAAAGGACTATTGTGTGCACCAAAGGCACCTTCTTTAACAGCTTGTTGGCCCCGAAGACTTTCAGCCAATAGACTATAAGGAGATCATAATTAAAAAGGAATGCAAATGTAAAAAGGGAACAAGCTGGATTTTCTGAAAAGTTGAGTAAAACCTCTTTAGTCTCACTAGATGGTGCTGCAAAAACCCTGAACTTCTGATTTAAGACTGAAAAACAAGGCATTTGTTTAATGTAATGAAAAAATATAGTTTTTTTAATGCCCCCTACTCCTTCCTGTTACATATCCTGGGCAATGCTTTATTAAAGCACTTTAAGGAAAAGCCTTGATAATAATATAACCACAGGATATTGTGTGTTTGTCCAACGGGCTCATCTGCGTGTGTGATGCCTTATCTTGAAAAGTATCAGAAAGGACACTGAGAATGCATTTATCTTTTCATTTTCTTTTATTTTTAGCTAGATATGGTTTGTTGAGGTCAAAGTGACTTATTTCTGCTTGGCTGAACATTCTGACTGAGTAATGGAGACCTGATGCACCCACTCTTGTTTCTATCTCAGCATAATGCAGCTGGTTTCACACCTGATTCCAGAAGGGACATTGAAACTTGGCAATTTAAAAGTTAGTGTAAGGAATGCTCAGAGTGAAGTGTCACTAAGTTGTACCTCTCCACAATTAATAAATAATGAATGGGCTTAAAATATCAGTTTTCACAGAGACAAGTAATCACTTTTAACCTCTGCACCATTTCTGGATGCGTTTGGGTTATATGCAGTATTGCTTCTTCTCATTCAAGAAATGGATGAGACTGATTAGTCTTCTACAAATGTAATTTTCCTGTCTGTGTCTACAGATTTTCCGTTCAGCTCTATGGTTTCTCTCTCAGGTTAGAAACTCACTTGTAGGGAATTTTAACATGTCATGGACCCCCACAGCATTTGCAGTAGTCAAAGACAGAAATGTTTCCCCAGGCTTAGTTGCAAAGATCTATCACACAGGTATCTGCATAGATAGATGTAAATGAGGTTCTTAGGGACATGGTTGAGTGGGCATGGTGGTGTTGGGTTGA